CTTAGAAAAGATAAAACTCGAATAAACAAAAGAGTCGAAATTGAGACAAGGAATTATGAGACAACCCAATATAAATTGGCTCTACCATCGAGTACGGCTGTTTGAGCTATTCAATTGTTCCATGATGCTTTGCCTCACCTCCAATTTCCTTCACCCTGTGGGTTAAGAGAGCTCCCATTGAAATTAGATCCACATAACTTGCAGCCTACTTTTGAGCTGCTAGTTTTCTACATTCCAATATGACATTGAACTGCATGTATAGTCGCGATAAAGGCTCGAGCTGGAAACGAGCGGCTGAGTTTTCTTGATCGAATCCCGCCGACAAAAGCCGACAAGCTATGAGGGCTTCCGGGGGCGAATTATGGTAGCAAAGTAGTCTGGGAGGGCGAAAGCACTGACTAAATCTTCTAACCCTCTATGTCATCATCGAGAAGTGGAATCTTGCGCGGAGGAGACGATGGTCCGATCCCGTGTAGAACTTTGGAACAACAGCGACGTCGGTCAGGCAAAACCTTCGATTGAAGATGATGTGGTCGTTATGGAACTGTCCATCAGGTGACTCCCAAGTCCAACGAAGGTGAGAGGGCTTTGGAACTGTGAGTTACCATGGATGGTGTTGGTCGACATGATAAACTCCGACAGTCTCTCACCCTGCTCATTCCATTCCATTCCGTGAGTACCGATGTGAAGTTCTTCAGCCGTTCTTCTTGGGCCAATCTTGGCGTTGAAGTCGCCGACGATGACCTTCAATGATCTTCCTTGTAGAACTTCTCCAATTCAAAGAACGCAGTGAGAGAAAGGGAATGGAATGGCTCCTCATGACCAGCGTATACTAGCACACAAATGACCATTCTTCTATATTAAAGGGCAGTGCGAGAAGTTCACATCGTATTTTTTGGAGATGCTAGAAGGGCTCCGAGAATCGATTGTTGGAAAAAAACTACTCTACTCTAAAAACGAACGTGATTTCCTGTTTGGAAATCATTGAGAGGGTATAGTATTTACGATCAGGTACTACGACTCATGTACGTCCATTTTGCCAAGATAGGTGCCTGGAGGCGAGGAGAAGCGACAAATATGCACGCCCTTAACGGTTTTGGACGGATTATTTCTAAGGGGAAAAAGAAAAGATTCCGAGTCGATAAGATGTGGATTTCCAACGGGGAAAAGAGTGCAGGGTTGGGTGAACCAATTTCTGAACATTGAAGAACCAAAAAAGCCGACGAGAGAAGAGGGTAAACGAGACATCTTGCCACCGCAATGGGTTTGAACTCTGGTTTTGGCATATCTAAGCATATCTCATGTCTGTGTTTATCCCAAGGCTTTAATGTAATGTGGTTGACTCCTATATTCTGAAAGCTTTCATCACAGCTTTTGACATGTACTGTTTTATTGTTTGTGACGACACATACATATTTGAAATAATTGTTTGCGTAAGTAGCAAACTTTCTGTCCTACAACAGCGTGTTCATGTTCTCGCAGCACATGTTCTCTTTCAGCATTGATTAAACTCTAAGTAAATATCTGCACTTCTCGTATGAGTATCGCGAGGCTCCCATGTAATGTGCTGGATGTTGGATGATAAGCTTTACTACTTACAAGCGGATCCTCTGTGACGAAGTAATTTCTTTGTATTTCTATTTCTCAATTTCAAGCCTCAAAATGGGCACAATCACCTGTTCTATGCGGGCTATTGTAAAATTTATGAAGGGTATGAAAAGTAAGATTATCGCGAAAATTCTTATTAGTGTCTCTTTGATACTCAACATGATGTGACTGTATGACGTGGAACCGACTTGTTATTATGGATGAATTTGACCGCCTACAAAGTCTGTTTTGGCAACGTGCTATGAAAATCCTTTTCGAATGAGTCATGATCCAAAAATCGCTTGACGATGCTTTATTTTAGAATCAAATCAGTTCCTTCCTTCACACGAAAATGCACAACATATCCAGCGTAACTGATCTTATCTCCATTTTCATTGTACCCACAGTTGCATCCGAAGCGCGTACCTTCAAGGAAGCCTTCGACCTTAAGAAAAAAAAACATTGACAATTTCACAAGTCAAGGCAATAAATGAAAATTACGATTTATTGAGGGGCTTCTATTGGGGCCCGACGACAGTGCTTTGCAGCCTCTATTTACTGCCCTTACCGCGCAGCACATTTGTGCTCGCTAGTACGATGTGAGGATCAAATTTAATCAGCCACAGGCACTAGTTATAATCATCTCGTACCAACATGCGGTAAGTGCCCAAAATTCGGGACAACTCGACTTTACAGCTGGCTTGACGCAATGTGAGGCAATGAACGCACATATATGAAATATTGGCCACTTCAACAGTCTGCGCAGGTTGCTGTTTGGCAGTTGCGACGACTTACGAATTTCATCAAGGCGTATATGCTGTTCGAAAGGAACCCTCCTCCCTTCAAATTTGTGCTTTCAGTTTCCTGAGAAGCGTAATTTCTCCCGGGTCTCGCAGTGAAAGCAAACAAAACGACGAATAAAATTCGAGTACTAACTTCCCACTTAAGTCAAAGGAATCATCCGCGCTCCTTAAGTAGAATTACCGTCTTCATGCAAAGGCGTTGATGCTCTAGATATCGACGCTCTCTTGAAATTGTTCTTCGATATCGGTTCACTTCACTTCTCTAAAATCATTCCAAAACAAAATAGTCCCATGTTGTTCGGAAAAGCTTCTTGAGGAAAAGAGGTGCTGTTAATGCCAGCAGTATGACAGCGCTTTGATACCTTTTCATTAGTTGTATGTTCATCTTCTACCTGGTGACGACGATTTATCTCGAATGCTTACCTTTGCAGAGTGGCCCTTGAAATCGTCTCGGGTTTGAATTATCTGTGTTGGCAAGTCCAGTGGTCCCGTGAAGGTCCTTGGAGAATACTGTATCTCATAGAAAATGTAAAGGGGAACGCGGAAACTAACTTGTTAACTCTGATTGTTTTAGCACCTCCGGTACTCGGCCGGGATGACCATACAATCCTCCATAAGCTTTCCCCGCAAGGTGTTTTTTCCATTGCTAAAGAAAAGAGAAAAATTGTTTGCGAAGATTGGCAGGGATTTTCTATAATCAAATTCATACTACTAGAATACTGAAAACAATCGGAGCTGATCTTTTCGTGAACCGCCTCAAAATCATTCCCTGTTCGCTCTGATAACGTGAATGTCATTGAAGCGTAACGTTACTTGAACGCAGGCCAGC